GATAACCCTGTGGAGAGACGGTCCTGCAGGAAATCCAGCACTGTACCAACCGGGCAGTTAACTGGGTCCTGCTGGCGCTCTCCACACCAAGAGGTGAAAAGTTTCCACCTCGCGCATATAACTTCCTCGTGGAGGGAGCTCTGGATCGGAGGATGGTCTCAACGACCTCAGCCGAGAGACCAGAATCTATGAGCTGGGCCCCCTCAGAGGCCAAGCCCACAGCCTCCATAGCTCTAGACGGGGGTGAAGGATCGACCCACTCGCCTGAGAGAGCAGATCTCTCCTGATCGGTATCTCTAGGGGAGAGCCGTCGAGGAGAGACACTAGGTCCGCAAACCATACCCGGGCCGACCAGAACGGGGCTATTAGCAGGAGACTGAGCCCGTCCCGGCGAACCCTCTCCAGAACTCCTGGGAGCAGAGCGATCGGGGAAAAAGCGTACAAGCGTGACCTCGGCCACGGATGTACCATCGCATCCAACCCCAGCGAGGCTGGATGGCTGCGAGAGAACCACAGCGGGCAGTGTGATGTTTCTCGAGAAGCAAATAGGTCTACCTCGGCAAGACCGAAATGTTTCCATAGGAGTTCCACCACCTCGGGGTGAAGACTCCATTCCCCGGGCCTCGGCCCCTGTCTTGACAGGATGTCTGCCCCCTGATTAAAATACCCCGGGAGATAAATAGCTCTCAGAGAAAGAATTTTCCCCTGGGACCATAGAAGGATCTGACGTGCCAGTTTGTAAAGCGGGCGAGAACGCAAACCCCCCTGATAGTTGATATAAGAAACCACCGATGTGTTGTCTGTCCGGACAAGAACATGGTGGCCCCTTAGGTCTGGGAGGAAGTGTTTCAGAGCCTGAAACACCGCCAACATCTCTAGGCAGTTTATGTGCCACAGACGATGATGGTCCTCCCACAGACCCTGAGCCGGGCGACCATCCATGATCGCCCCCCCAACCCGTGAGAGAAGCATCTGTCGTTAGCATAACGCGACGACAAGGAGCTCCTAACACAGGGCCTTGGGACAGAAACCAAGGATCTTTCCACATGATCAGGGCGTGATGACACCGTCGCGAACTCACGATCATGCGAAGCGGATTTCCCCTCGGGGAGAATCCCTTGGTCCTGAGCCACCACTGTAACAGTCTCATGTGCAAGAGGCCAAGAGGTATCACGTTGGACGCAGCTGCCATGAAACCTAACAGTCTCTGGAACTGTTTTACAGTGGATGACTGGCCTAGCTTGACCTGATCTACTGCAGCGAGAATCAAAGCAATACGAGCAGGTGACAATAGTGCCTGCATCGTCGTTGAATCCCACACTACACCTAGAAAAGTGGTTCTCTGTAATGGAGAAAGAACACTCTTTTTGGCGTTGAGCCTCAGCCCCAGTCACTTGATATGAGCAAGAACGACATCTCGGTGCCGAACCGCCTGTTGTTCCGATTGAGCTAGAATCAAGCAATCGTCTAAATAGTACAGAAAGCGGATGCCCTGTAACCTCAGCGGGGCTATAGCAGCATCCATACACTTCGTGAATGTTCGGGGTGACAGTGCTAGGCCGAACGGAAGAACCCGATATTGGTACGCTTCGCCCCCGAAAGCGAACCTCAGGAACTTCCTGTGTTGAGGGAGGATAGATACATGGAAGTAAACGTCCTTTAGATCTATCATGACAAACCAGTCCTCGGATCTGATTTGAACATCCCCTGTGACAGACACAGCGCCCTGTAACGTACTGGCAGGGAACAGCTGGCCTGGGCACTCCACAACCCTCCTCGGAGGGGGCGAGCGTCCCTCGGGAAATCGCTCGCAGAGTCTCTCTACGCCCTGTATAGGCAGGGTTAGTAGAACAGACCCCTGAGGGCATCGAGAAAGACAGGGCACCGTGTTTTTGTGCGGTGAACTCAGGTCTTTCACGATAGGGACCACCCTCAGAGTCCTGACGTTTAGCACGTCAGGATTTTTCTTTTTCCCGATGAAGTAGTATCCTAACTCCCTGCTGGGTGGGGGACCCATTCCGCCAGGAGCTCTACTAAGGGAACCAGCCTCTCGAGGCTGGCCTCTGGATGAACATCCCGAGTGACAGACACAGCGCCCTGTAACATACTGGCAGGAAACAGCTGGTCTGAACACTCCACAACCCTCCTTGGAGGGGGCGAGCGTCCCTCGGGAAATCGCTCGCCGAGTCTCTCTACGCCCTGTATAGGCAGGGTTAGTAGAACAGACCCCTGAGGGCATCGAGAAAGACAGGGCACCGTGTTTTTGTGCGGTGAACTCAAGTTTTTCCCGATGGGGACCACCCTCAGAGTCCTGACGTTCAGCCCGTCAGGACTTTTTCGACGCGGCCTTTCTGGCGACAATGACTGTCCTCAGATCAGTCCTGCCCCGAGAAGGCCGCGCCGGAGAGCGCCCGCCTCGTCCCTCCAGTTTCTCTGCAGGAGGGCACGAGACTTGACACTCCGCTTCTGCTGTGCTCTTTTGGAAGACGAACTCGACGAAAAACTTTGCTCTGGTTGAACATTCTGCGTGACAGACACAGTGCCCTGTAACGGCGCACCAGCAGGGAACGACTGGTCTGAACACACTAGAACCCTCCTTAGAGGCGGCGAGCGTCCCTCGGGAAAGCACTCGCCAGACCCTTCTACGCCCTGTTTCGGCAGGGTTAGTAGGACGGGCCCCTGAGGGCGCCGGGAGAGACAGGGCACCCTTAAGGGAGGTGAACGCAAGTCTCTCTCGGCGGGGAACCCCCTCAGATTTTCCTTTGATCGGCCTGAAAAGCCTGCATAAAAGTCTTTTTATTTTTATTTTTATTTTTTCGTATGCAAACATGCAGCCGCCTGCCCAGCCACCGAGTAAGCCTTCCCCACCAGCACAGAGGTATATATATTTATTTATTTATTTATTTTTGGTGGAAGAGCCGGTGCTTTAAGTGAAGACGATGAAGCAGGAGAGAGATAGCTCGCGAGCGTCTCCTCCGCCTACAGTATCGTCACATAACCAGCAGATTTAGCACCAACAATGTTACCATAAGCATTGGACTGATTTGTGTAAATTCTGCTTGAAACCGGTCTAACCCAGGTCTTTGACACCTCAGTATGAAGATCTGGGAAGAACGGTAAGCACCGGCGAGAAGGTTGAAGTCGTGCAGACAGAAATCTATCATCTAGATTGCTTTTAATTCTAGAAACCTGTCTATCAGCTGGCCACTCGATACTGTTTTTTTTTTTTTTTTCAGCTTTTCAACAGCCCGAGATAACACATCCATCAAACCTTCTTCATTTGCAGTATAATGTGATAAACTAGTTTTCTCTGATGCAAAACTTTCGACATCCAGCTCCTCAGAACTGGAAAATCTCAATTCAACATCATCATGTGCCTCCACCCGGGCAGAAGTAACCGCCGCAGCGCGTGCTTCCAGAGCCGGGTGAGAGGCACTAGATCTCGGCGGAGATAGCTGAGATAGGCCGGAGCCCGTCTCAACGTCGCCAGTGAGATCCATCTGCGAGCCCCAAGACAAGCGCCGCCGCTCTGCCTCAACAGAAGCGGGACCCGAGCCTTGGGGAGCTCGCAGCAAATCACTCTCCTCGAAGAGCGATCGCCGCGAGCGCAGAGTTCTCAAGGGAAAACACTCGCAATGCTGACAATCGACTCCCTCGAGAGCCGACTGGGCATTGCTGCACTTCCCAACACACTTCTTATACTGCTCGCTCATATTGGTTTTTTTATATAAAATATATATAGTGAAAACTCCTGACAAAACAGACAAACACAATCGACAGATTCAGACACACACAGAGCTGCTGAAGTAACTAAAAGCTGGCGTATTGTGTACTCAGGGGATATTTATAGCTTCCTGGTCGATGACGTCACTCGCCGTACGCTCATTCTCTCCATTGACTGATTTCATTCATGCTTCAGACGCGTCACGCTGAGGGCGTTCCCACTGCGATTACACGCAGCGGTAGTCCCTGAAGGGGAACTTAAGTTTATTAATTTAAACAAACCCCCAACATTAAGCATAATCTAATGTAATCGTGACAACAGCATGGACTAGTTGTACTGGGAAATTTGTTTAATTGACACGCAGCAGAAGGATCAGAACGTACTGCTATCATATTAACGGTCTAATAAAATCATTAAAGTCAAATTAATCTTGCATAGAATCCTGAAGCTCTTTGGATTTGGGTTTATGTAACAGACACTTCTGAGGCTCTGAGATAGAATCCAAAGGGCTAGTGGGAGCCTGTTCTTTATAACTCATAGAAAATAACTATTTCCAAACACCGATTTCCATCCCTCAATGCCCTACATACTTCAACTCCCACATGATGTTCTAATGTGGGTGTTTCAAGCTTCCATAGTGAGCACAACGCACCGAAAATAGATTTTTGGATATTGCTCAGACTTTTTTTTTTTTTTTTTTCTGTACAGGGCTTCTAAGAAAATAATGCATTTTCAGCATTTACCATTCATGTACAGAGCACCTGCATCTCACCTTTAAGGGTCTAATGGTACATGTGCCCAGAGCTCCCCCCTGTGGCATATCTAACACAGTGCGGTGACAATGTCAAAAAACAAAAACAAAATAAGATGTATGAAAATTTAAGGTAAAAGGCCTGCTTCACACTTGTTTAACAGCAAAATCATGCTATTTCTGAGCTTTCACCATGGAAATCAAACCCATTATTGTAGTTATAAACTACAATCATTTGTTAATTTGTCTAGATTAAGTTTTATTACATTTATTATTATAAAGTGCGGTTTGAGCCTGTCGTTGCATGTAGAACTTGCTTCAACAACTTTAAAAAAAATTAATTATTTTGTTGCCTTATAAAGTCCTGATAAATAGGTTGCAAACTCTTCTTGCAGCTAAGCTTTTGCATTGCGCTGTGTACACATGCAGTGTGAATATTGTAACCTGCTAATATGAACAACAAAATTAATGTGTGCCATGTACATTGTTTACGGTGCGTAACAGGCCTAAGAATGAGTTGCGTACCTGTTTAACTTTTGTCAGTTCTTGCTGCATCTTATGATTAAGGCTCTCGGATTCTGCAAGCTTATCCTGTTAGAACAGAGATCTTCACATGAGTCAGCATTAGAGTTAGCTCACTCATTCTCGCAAACAGGATTAATGAGAGCCTCGCTCAATAACACATGAATGAATGTCACACATTCCAGCATGTGACAGTGTTTAAAACTGTTATCAAAGTGGTACCTGTATTCTCTTGAGCTCTCTCAAGGCCTCAATGTGGTCTTTTCTTAGTCTCTCCATCTCATCCAGATCATCAGAGTCCGATAACGATGGCTTATAAAAGAATAAATAATATATATATATATATATACACTCACCGGCCACTTTATTAGGTACACCTGTCCAACTGCTCGTTAACACTTAATTTCTAAGCAGCCAATCACATGGCGGCAACTCAGTGCATTTAGGCATGTAGACATGGTCAAGACAATCTCCTGCAGTTCAAACCGAGCATCAGTATGGGGAAGAAAGGTGATTTGAGTGACTTTGAACGTGGCATGATTGTTGGTGCCAGAAGGGCTGGTCTGAGTATTTCAGAAACTGCTAATCTACTGGGATTTTCACGCACAACCATCTCTAGGGTTTACAGAGAATGGTCCGAAAAAGAAAAAACATCCAGTGAGCGGCAGTTCTGTGGGCGGAAATGCCTTGTTGATGCCAGAGGTCAGAGGAGAATGGCCAGACTGGTTCGAGCTGATAGAAGGGCAACAGTGACTGAAATAACCACTCGTTACAACCGAGGTATGCAGCAAAGCATTTGTGAAGCCACAACACGCACAACCTTGAGGCGGATGGGCTACAACAGCAGAAGACTCCACCGGGTACCACTCATCTCCACTACAAATAGGAAAAAGAGGCTACAATTTGCAAGAGCTCACCAAAATTGAACAGTTGAAGACTGGAAAAATGTTGCCTGGTCTGATGAGTCTCGATTTCTGTTGAGACATTCAGATGTTAGAGTCAGAATTTGGCGTAAACAGAATGAGAACATGGAACCATCATGCCTTGTTACCACTGTGCAGGCTGGTGGTGGTGGTGTAATGGTGTGGGGGATGTTTTCCTGGCACACTTTAGGCCCCTTAGTGCCAATTGGGCATCGTTTAAATGCCACGGCCTACCTGAGCATTGTTTCTGACCATGTCCATCCCTTTATGGCCACCATGTACCCATCCTCTGATGGCTACTTCCACCATGTCACAAAGCTCTAATCATTTCAAATTGGTTTCTTGAACATGACAATGAGTTCACTGTACTAAAATGGCCTCCACAGTCACCAGATCTCAACCCAATAGAGCATCTTTGGGATGTGGTGGAACGGGAGATTCGCATCATGGATGTGCAGCCGACAAATCTGCGGCAACTGTGTGATGCCATCATGTCAATATGGACCAAACTCCCTAAAGAATGCTTCCAGCACCTTGTTGAATCTATGCCACGAAGAATTGAGGCAGTTCTGAAGGCAAAAGGGGGTCCAACCCGTTACTAGCATGGGGTACCTAATAAAGTGGCCGGTGAGTGTAATTATAAATATTATAAACACTGTAAAATACAAAGCCCCGCAAGACATGCAGTAAAAATATGTATATCGTTCCCATGATGACTCACTAATACATCAGCACAATATAATAAATTGTTCACTCATTTTACTAAATCGTGGCCACACGCACACACACACACACACACACATATATATATATATATATATATATATATATATATATATATATATACAGTATAATTTTTTTGTCCGCATGTAATATGCAGAGCTCCTTAAAAAAATAATAAAAACATAATATATCATATGAAACATTATATAAAAGTAATATTCTATACAAATAATATATAAATTATAATTTTAAAAACATTGACAAATAATAAAAAAAATTTACTGTATAATTTTATATATATTATAATATTATATATATATATATATATATACACAATTATAATTTATCAATGCACATTTAGTATGCGTGTTTCTGCTGCAATAATAAAAATCATTTGCACTTACTGTAGGGTTTGAAGGAGACTCACTGAGATCATCTGATGTCAATCTCGCTACTTCCTGTTCCGATTCAGACTTGGACGGTAGTTTAAAGAGTTCCTTTGTCACTCTCTCAAAATCTTACAGGAGAAAAATTCTTATGAAAATACATTCAGTCACACAAAACGTTAAAATAAAAGTTTTTTTAGAGGTTTATTTTTTTAAACAAACCTGGAATAAATGTACTGAACAAGTAAGGAGAGGTAAAAAGCCACCAGTACATAAACCACTACAACATAATGAGGACTGACAGAAATTATTCTCACCGCCATAAGCCACTGTCCCTCCTGGGTTCAAACGCAGTCTTTCTCTCAGAGTCAGGACCTGAGAGTCATTCGGCTTCAATCCCAGTGCCTCCAGTGTCTGTGAACAGAACAACCGCCCTTAAGTTACACCAGCATAACGTGCTCACTGTCTCTCTCTCTCTCTCTCTCTCTCTCTCTCTCTCTCTCTCTCTCTCTCTCTCTCTCTCTCTCTCTCACATCAATGTCTTTGTATAAAATATAATTTTATTTTATTTTGATCAATTCATCCACTAAATAAATATAAATAAATAAATGTATTTTTACAGTTAGTATATATATATATATATATATATATATATACACACAATTATATAAATATATATAATTATATAATATATTGTAGATATAGTTTTATATATCTACAAATTTTAGAAAGATTTCTACTCCAGAAGGTTGTTTTACAGTAATATGTAAATCTTTCTAAAAATTGTCCATGCTTTAGACTGTTTCCTATATCAACAGATCTACAGACTGCGCTGTACTGCACTGAAGCTGTGGCACAGTCTCTATTGATTTTCCCATCATACCACAGTAGAAGTGGATATGGGATCGTACGCTAACTGCACATATTGTTCAACAGTGGGATTAACTCCCTCCACACATGATAGTAAAAACCAAAAAAGATCAATACAGTACAGAGACTGATGGGTAACTAATCATTAAAGCCCGCCGGGGGGGATGACCAGCGCTTGACCTTGCCGTAAACAAGAGATGTTTCTGTAATTCGGTACTTTGACAGACACCATCATTCTCTAATTGAAAGGATATGATTATGCAGACCTGCTCTGTTTTCTCGGGCTTGAGTTCGAAGCTGGGAATTGAGGATGGAGGTTTTGAGGGTCTCCAGGTATTGCTGGGATTACAGGCAGCAGTTGCATCTGGGCAAAGAGAAAGAGAATACAAATAAGTTAAACTGCACAAAAAAAGCTCTTTTGCAAAACAGCTGTTTGTAATTTTGGTAAAGCACATCACATATTTTAGTAAGACTCTTACATAACTCAATGAGAGTATAATCTATCCGAGTAGATTGCTCAGAGTGGGGGCCCAATAAAGTATTTGTGCAAAAAAAAGTGTCTCTGCATTATATAACAAAATATCAAACAAAGTGGTATTTATTTTATATATATATATATATATATATATATATATATATATATATAAATAGTTCACACTTTTCAAGTTAAACATTTCACAAGAATATGTATTGTTCAAAATATATTCACTTTCTAGCTGTCAGACATTAGTGCAACATGTTCATAATTAATCATTTGTTTGCAGAAGGCATTTGCTATGATATTTTGGATCTAATGCAATGACATTTATACACTCTTACGCTACCATTCAAAAGTTTGGGGTCAGTGAGTTTTTTTTATTTTTTTTAAGAAATTAATACTTCTATTCAGCAAGTATGCATTAAAGAGTAAAGACTTTTTTTAGCCATATTTTTAATCAAATAAATGCAGCCTTGGTGAGCATAACAGACTTCTTTGTAAAACATCTTACAGTCTTACAAACCTTTTAACAGTAGTTTAAGTGTTACTCCAAAAACATCTGAGGCACTTTGGGTCAACAATTTAAACTCTCATTCAAATATTACACCATTATATTTGATCCCTTTGTATAAATGCTTTGTGTACAACAGGAATTAATATTGTTTGAACAGGCTGGTTTTTTTCCTCCATAAACCCAACCCCGACCAGACCTGTGGACTGGAGAGAAAGTACAATGCTTTGCTCAAAATAGTGCTAACCTTGTCAAATCCTCTTACGATGAATAACTGCAGAGTGTAACTGAACTCATAGGTGTGTGACCTGACCATGAACTCACTATCTCATCATTTATTGTTCACTCATTCATTATCCGCATATTTATTTTTCTTTTTTGGAGGGGGATTTATTTCCTGACAATGATTTCTTGGAAATTCAAAGCCCTTTTAGAATAATATCAGACAGTTGCCTTCACAAATGTGGCATAAAAGGGGGTCTCAATTACGTTTTTATGCAATGTGAAGTGACTCATTTTCTACCTGAGACTTGAATATTATGGAGAGGGGACATGGTGGTGGAAAAAAAAAGTATGAGATGGGAGGAAAAATATTAAGTCAATGGTTTTGCGTTCTCTAGCAAATGTTTTGTGTTCCCCAGATAAACTTTTCATTTCATGTTTGTTGTTCAGTACAGCTGGTTAAATCTGGTAAAAAAAAAAAAAAAAAACACAGCTGAGAGGAGCTTTATCGAAGGTTCTCGTCAATGAAATGAAACCCTGTCCTGAACAGAGCTCGGTATCCTCGAGTTCACCTGGAGTTATGTCATGTTGATGCTAATATCCATTTTCAGAACCATGCCAGCTGGATTATTTTGAGTTTCAAACACAGCATCTAATCGGCACATGGCTGTCTAAACGTCTGCTGAACAGGTAGTCTAATCCAGGTTATGACAGAATGTTCCTTATCTATGAGTATCAGATTGTTCACAAGTAAAATTCCATTCACAATGCATCAGAATGTCCTACACCATCTGTGAATAACAATGGGAGTGCCTATGGTTAGTTCTGGGTTCAATACAAGTTAAGATTGCAACATTTGTGGCATACTGTTACCACAGAAAAGATCTGCGCATTTTTTCATTTTGCAAATGTAGAATTAATTTAGACTATTTTAAAGCAAAATGTAGTTATAGTAAAGCACTTACCATCTTGTATTTGTTTAAAGTACCGGTATGTTGTTTTTTATTGACGCATATATACGTTGTTTAATTGACAAATGTAAGTATTTCAGGTGCAAAGTATTGGGTCACTTTAGTTTAGGGTCCAATTCTCCCTATCAACTAACTATTAACTACGACTTTTGCCTCAATAAACTCCTAATTAATGCTTATTAATAGTTAGTAAGGTGGTTAAGTTTAGGTATTGGGTAGGATTAAGGGATGTAGAGTATGGCCAAGCAGAATAAGGCATTAATATGTGCTTTATAAGTACTAATAAACAGCCAATGTCTTAGTAATATGCATGATAATAAACAACTAGTTAATAGTGAGAATTGGACCCATTCAAAAAATACCAAGTATTTATTTATCATTGTAGCATTTTAATTTATGCTGTTTAAAAAAAAAAAAAAAAAATTTTTTTTTTTTGATTTTGAGGTGAAATGTGACCTGTTTTATGAGAATGCATATAGAACAGCATATGTATATATAGTTTCAAAACTAATGTATTTGAATGCTTCTTTGCCTCCATGTATTTTCATTGTATGATCCTTACTGTACTATTTGTGTCCCTTTGGATAATTTTCTGTAATAACCTACTTTATGACACAAACTTAGTATTAAACTTAGGGGATTCTTATAGGGGGACTAGGGTACCAGTACCAGAGTTGGCCACTGTGGTGCAGGCACTCTCAAGTGAGGACACGGGGGTGAGATTAGGCTTTCCTATTGCTGGTCGTACCTGTAAGGAAAGACAAAATGAAGCCTTTAAGAAAGCATTATCTCAAGCAGTGCCGAAGAACATTATTGAATCTCTCTTACCAGACTGGAATCAGCCACAGTCTTATGTCTAACCTTAGTAAGGTCTACAGAAGGCAACGTCTCACTTCCAGAGTTGGGGGTGCTGGCTATCTTGGGAACGAGAACTCCAGGGGGCCTGAGTTGGGGAGTTGAACTGCAGGGAGGTTGAATGGAGATGGGGCTGTGGGGTCCACTGCTGGAGCCAGAAGAAGACCTTCGTCTGATAAACGCTATCTCTACTGTAGGGTCTGGTCTGTAGGGTCAAACAGTGACATGTGTAAACATATGACCTTACAGTCTCTCACCATACAGCTGCATTTGTCTTGGACAGAAGCAAACTCTCTATGTATATTTTCCCTATGTTGTCATTCAGGGAAGGTTGTCTTGAACGGTTGTGTGTTTATATAGACATATGTCTGAGTTTTAACCTGAGTTTTGTTCGAGTGAGTAGGATTTTGGCTTCTTCATGTGTTACTCCAACGAGAGACTCCTTATTGATGGATATGAGCTGGTCCCCGGCCTTTAGTCTCCCATCCTAGAGTCACAAAGAGAAAAACATTTTACTCAATTTAAAATTTCTTCAGCTTAATTTACTTCACTTCACTTTACATTACTATTCAAAAGTTTTGTTTTTGAAAGAAGTCTAATATGCTCACTAAAGCTGCATATGTGTGATACTGTAAAATATAGAAAAACAGTAATGTTGCAAAATATTATTACAATTTGAAATAACTGTTGTCTATCGTAATGAATTTTAAAATATAATTTATTGCTGTGATGGCAACGCTGAAGATTCAGCATCATTATTCCAGTCTTCAGTGTCACATAATCCTTCAGAAATCCTTCTAATATGCTGATGAAACATTTCTTCTTATTATCAAAGTAGAAAAGAGTTATGCAGCTCAATATTTTTGTGGAAACTGTGTTTTTTTTTCCAGCACTCTTTGATAAATAGAAAGTTAAACAGAACAATACATTTTTAATAGAATTGTTTGTAAAATTTTTACTGTTACTTTTGATTAATGTAATGCATCTTTGCTAAATAAAGTATTCATTTATTGTTTTAAAACATACTGACCCCAAAATTTTGAACAGTCGTGCAATTTACTCACTTAACTTCACCTTCATTTATCTCACATTCACAAACTACTACAGTGTTTCACAAGCCAAGAATCAACACAGGCAAATTATGTACAATTTGTTTTATTTGTTTGTTTGGTCAATAACCGGTTTGTTTTCTCAAACTCAAAAAAATACGATCTTAGATTTTTTTTTTTGCAGTTTTACAAAATAACAATAAGAATAAATAAACATACTTTTTGGCAGTCGCTCCCTTGCATTATTTCCTGAACGAACACCATTGGCCCCTCTGCACGGTTAGCTCCGCCCCTGATGACCAAGCCTAATCCTGTCCCTTTGGCAACACATATCAACTGAATCATGCAGTCTCTGGGGAAAGAGAGGTTAACATAAGGGCTTGGATCAACAGCAGAAACAATGAATCCTGAGGTGATTAGTTTTTTTTTTTCAATAACCATAAATTAATCTGTTGTGGGATTTCACTCTCACTCGGGCTAGGTCAGGTGTTTTCAGGCTTAAACTCTTCAATCAGGACACTATTAATTGCATTAGTGTGAGAAACCTGCTGGGTTCTATCATTCATTTTGATAGTAGAATTTTTTTAAGTATATGCGAAAGGATCATACTAAAGCACCGGATAAAATCTGAATTAGATCTACAGTGTGTCTTTTTGTTCTTACGTGCAGACTTGTGGAGGTGGGGAGGTAATGCAGGCAGTGGTGTATACTGGGTTTGGGTCTTTAGGGCTCAGAAGCAGAGGACTGGTAGACCTGGAAGATGAGGAGGAGGAGGCAGTGTCGGTCATCTTTCCTGAAGACAAGAGATTTGATTTTTAATACTCTCAATCTATACTTCTGCTACTCTTTCACTTAAAAATAACACAAATGCTACAATAGAAATACCACAGGTCTCCTACGCTCACCAAGGCTGCATTTATTTGATCAAAAATAAACTGTGTTACCGTATTACAAAATGTTATTATTAATATACGGTAACTGATTTGCATCTCGAAATGGAAATTTTTTTCCTGATTTTTTTTTTTTGTACGTTGTGGTTCAGGGCTTCCGTAGTATTTTAATATATTTACAAATGTAACTTATTCCTGTGATGTCAACGCTGAATTTTCAGCAGCCATTACTATTACAGTCTTATTTGGTGCTCAAGTAAAATTTCTTATTATTATCACAGTTGAAAACGGTTGTGCTGCTCACTATTTTTGTGGAAACCATTAAACATTTTTTAGGACACTTTGATGAAAAGAAAGTTCAAAGGAACAGCATTTATTTGAAATTTTAAAAGAAAAATGTAAATTATAAATGTCCTTACTGTCACCTTACTGTGATTAATTGAATGCATAATTGCTGTTTTTTCTTTTAAATTTATTTTTTTTAAAAATCTTACTGACCCCTAACCACATACATTTTGGTTCAAGTATATTCTGATGCATGCTTGGCTCTTTATGTAGAAAAATTATGTTATGGAAGAACTAAACTAAAGCCTTTTTTAAGTTGGCACACTGTAGGCTGTTTTTGTCCATCATTTCAATATTCTCTCAAATTCAGACATTAGTCATTTACTCCTGAAATGCAATAAAGTGATAGACGTAATGGAAAATACCTGTGGAAACAGAGATGTCTGATCCAGAACTGGTACTATAGCTCGAGCCATATTTTTCCATTAGTTCAGCAAATTCCCTCCTAATGATAAACATAAAGGAACATGCAAGATCATATATAGATTCACCTTTCCTGGAGCCATAATTTTCCAGTGGTTCATAATAGGAGGGCTTTTGTACAGACTAACACTCTTACTTAAATTTTCTGTCTCTGTGGTGTTCAGAGAGTAAACATTATGTGGGCTTTACTTTCAGTAAAATCATGCATTAGATAATTATGAATGTACTTGTTATGTTCTAAAGGAGAATTCTGAATGATATTATTCTTCTTAGTTTTTAAAATACACAAAAAATAATGAACACACCCCTATTAAACAATCAAACTACATTTTGCAAGACAGTCCCTAGTTATTTGACAACTCCCATTAAATGAAACTTCCTCATTAGTCCACAAAAAAGCTTAGAAGCACTTAATTAGATTATGGAAGTAATCACAGATAAATTGGTATCAAAGTTAAAAGCCGGACTGTTTCCATACCTGAAATGTGATCTAATCAGTAATCTTTAAACTCTTGACATCATGTTCCCAAAATCTGTGTACTGTACTGAAGCAGTTTGTTTAAGGTGATTGATTGTCCATTATTTATGAGGGTAATCCTTTAACACCGTTACAGCTTTAAACCTGACCCCAGCTGGTTTAACTCAGGACACATATGACAGACTTGCGGCCCAAATACGTCAACAGCTGTTCAGTCAGGAGAACAAAAGTGCTCATCAGGAAGTCACTGAGACCAGCAAAATGCCAGCTCGAGTTAAACTAATACAGACAGAAAGAACTTGACAACTGCCCAAAACCGAGACCTCTGGCTAAGCAGACAGTGCCAAAACAACAACAAATTTGTGTTGCCAGTACAGAATTACTCTGTAGATCAAGTCTCCTAAGAAGCAATGTTATTTTAGATTTTATTTTAGGTTTATTAATATTTTGAATTAGCTTTTAGCTGTATATTTTTAAGTTACTAAGTTAATTTGAGTCTAAAATTTAGTACATTTTCATTTTTGTTTAATTATTAGTCATTTTGTTATGTGCTTTGTCATTTTATTCGGTTTTTAACATTGCTATTTTTATATTTATTTTTTTACGTAAAATATTTATTATGTAAATAATTTAGTGCTTTAGCTGAAATTTATTTTAGTTTGTTGCCAAGTTGACTGTGGCGAGCAGGACGAGGCCGAGGGCCGTGAGAGAGCGGCGCGAGGCCGGTGGAGTGATTACTAATGCGCAACGAAATTTCAAATTTTCAGTTAATTCAAGTTTTTCAACTATTTTTATTTTATTTTAGCTTTATTTCAATTAACAGAAAAGTTTTTAATAGTTTAAGTGGTAACACTTTACAAAAAGGACTCATTTGACAATGTGCAATACATTTTGACAGCATGTATCAGCCTTTATTAATGTTAGTTAAAAAATGTTCATGGTCATGTATATAACTAATGTTAACAAATGAAACCTTATTGAAAAGTGTAACCATTTTGGTTCTAGTTATAGTTAACCATAATAACCCTGATTAGAAGATTTTAAAACAGCTAGACTCATGTTTGGAGTTCATCAAAAAATACAAAAAATTAGTGCTGCAAAAATGCCATCACACCACAACAAGTGCCAAAATTCTCAATAAAGTGCTAAAGACTTTAATGTACTTAAGTGTATTAAGACTATTTTTAGATTTTTACAAAATCAAGACACTCCTCTGTACTCATCCATTTATAGGATTAAGAATATGATGTCCAACAGTGCACATTCTGTACCTGGCAAGCAATATTTCCTGTCTTCATAGAATTAAAATCTTTGAACACAAAACAGATCACATAAAAACACGTAAATACTGATAAATAGAGATGAATAGCAAAAAGAATGCATTCCATTAGATATTGTTAAAGGGGTCATGAATTGAGAAATCTCATTGTACTATAAAATAACCTGTAAGTTTAAGAATTCAAAGTTTCCTCATTAGTCAAAAAACAGCTTTTATTGAAACCAAACTCAGAAAATGGCTCATTTTGGATTTTGTGGACAAACACAGGATTACTTCAGCAACAAAACAATAGAGATACCTGAGATGATCTGAGGATTACAAGACGTTTTGGTTGTGAAAAAAAGTATTTGCCTTCCTTGTGGTCCTAACATTAAGAAAGTGTGGATGAACTTTATTTTTAAGTTCAAGTCAGATCGCGTCAGTAAGACACTGTTCGTTTGTTTGCCTCATTTTACTGCGGATTAGTTTTTAAAAGAGACACAGTTCGATGCAGGCTTTTCAGAGAGTCTGAAATTAAAAGATAATGCAGTGCCAACTATATTGGATCCGACAGTAATGTCGCAACACTCAAGTGTGAGAAACAATGTTTTTACCATGTGTCACTATTGCTTTGTCTGTAACAGATCGTTTGATATGTACTGAGTATTTATACTGTAGCGCTGTAGTTGAACTGTGAATAGTTGTAATTTGCTGTTCTTTCCTTTGCTTCAGCATTTATGGGGTTAATGCGTTGAATTATCAGATACAGAAGACCGCACGTAGAGAACGCTGCTTTAGTTATTGTTTTGATCTAAGCCATTCACTGTAATCATGAATAAGAGCATCAGTGTACGACATCTTCTGTTTTGTCAACAGTAAGACATTACATTACCTAAATTGCTAAACTCCTAAATGAGTGTTTTTTTATGTAAAATATTGATAACATAAGTGGACCTCAGAGAACATTATAAAAAAAAAAAAAAAAATGCAGTTCATAACCCCTTTAAAAGTCATCTTACCTGGAAGGGTCATCACGTACTATCAGTAAAGACATGTGATTTGAAGATGATGCCATGCGAAGAACCTCCACTGCCCTAATAAAACATCACACATATTTCTCAGTTTAGTCGTTTTACTATACTTAAGTCATCCTATAATTTATTGCAGATCAATAACCAATACACAATAGATTACTTTTCATTTGTAACACCTCCTAAATTCATGTTGTTAACATCTAAAATGAGGTCCCCTGCTCTAAGACGGCCTGAAAGACAGAAAGGAACATCGTCCATCATTCCCAGAATCAAAGTAAATACATTCATTGGAGATTTTGGGAGAAAGAACATACCGTCCTGTGCCGCCACGCCACCTGGCAAAACCCGTTTAATGAAAATACCAAACTCTTCACCACTCTGTTCCCTGTAGCCCCCAATAATCTTCACGCCTATCAAATTGAGAACAAGATTTTTGGGATTTTAAAATTAAAATTAAATTGTGCATCAAATGCCTTGAAAAATGAAGCAGTGTAATTGTGCTGTGGTTCTCACCCAATCCTTTTTTACAGTCTGTGAAGTCTAGTCTCTCAACAGCACGGTTGATGCCTTGGGGCCCCATTATTGTCCTGAAAAAAAAAAAGTAAAAAAAAAAAGAAAAAAAAGATTATCGAATGGATGGTTATAATGCGGTTGACCCTCTGATGCATCAATTATTAAATCCCAAAGAAAAGAATATAATCATTTCCAATCTTTTCCCCGCAAAATGCTGCATATTGAGAGAGTTACAAATCTGTCCATTACAGCAGAAGATCATGGTAAATATTCCAGAAAAAAAAGGACATTCATATAAAGGAATAAAGAAAGATTAAAGGAAATACCAATGTGGATGTAACAAACACCTGAATGGTTCAAATTGATTTTTAAACATCTGTACTGTAATGTACGCATGCTTTAGAGGGTTAAATCACTCAAAATATAGAAATATCGGAATGTATGTCGGGAAGTTCCCATCATGGTATCATTTAATGGATTTAGTTTTAATTAATTAATTTAGTTTTAATTCACTTTAAAGTATGGTCAAATTTTAGGAATGTAACATCTCGTAAACATACTTAATCACTAGGGAATAAATGAAATAACCCTTTAAACATTAAAGTATTATGCAGTCAAGACATTTCTCCTTACATAGTAGTACATTTTTGGCATAAATTAAGTCAAAAGCCTAAGGTTCTATGTATTGATATATATATAATCATATAATGTATATAATATAATGTTTTTGATTACAGTAAATTGAAACAGTGGTTGAAGTAATAACATTATCAGCCAAAAAAAAAATCTTAGATAAAAAAATAAAATCTTATACAGGAAGTAGGTTATTGTGCTTGGACTTATATTAAAATCACTAAAGCATGTAGGTAAACAATAAAAGCGCCAAATGATAAATTCTTATAGAAAGAGGGTATGTATCCAATCTGGTAAACTGCAGCCTGATCTCTGTTGCATTTAATCCCCATAACAGACAAAGCAACGGAATACAATAGTTTGACTTTAACTAGGACATTGAGTGAGATGTTAATAAAGCTCTGAACAATGTGTTTCTTTTTATAAAACAAATATCATCACAAATTTTCTTTTTAACCCTCATGTTGTTAAAATGTACTTTAAATATTTATTTTCCGTACATACTCTACAACGCTGCATGTGTAAAATATATTAATAGCGCTTTCAAAACTGACCAATAATTTGCACTTTAGATTTGTTATGTGAATCTGACATCATCAAAACCCGGCAAACAGATATTGCTGAAGCTTTATCATTCTGTTTGACTAAGAAGTAGGCATGCGCTCTTTTGAAAAGGCGATTGGAGTTCAGTATTAATGTTGGGTTTGTTTGAGGTCAATAAAACCCCTGCAAAAACACACAACAGAAAAATAAAACAAATCAAAGGAAACATCTGGAAGGAGTGTACCTGTACATTGTGTACAATAGAAAATCTAAGCATGTGAAAATGCATTGCGTTTATTAATACCTGGGGTCACTGAGACCCCAAATGTAATGCGTATTATCGAGTTGACAAGTATAATCAATCAGATCAGGAAAAGTATGTTTTTGAGATTTAAAAGGTAGGTTAACTTAATATTAGTTTTTATGTTTTGCATTAGATATGGCAGCATAATATACAATTTTAAGATAAATATATATATTCTGTATTGGTGAAGAAAAAACATCTTTTTTCCACACTCCTTTTTTATACAGTACTAAATGGCAACAAACATATGTATTAGGTAAAGACTAAGATGAAGGTTCAACTCCAGGATTTGTAATCTCAGACCAAAGTGCTGTTTTTGTTTTGCTGAGTTCAAGTGCTGGTCAGCCAGGACTGAGCAAGATGACAAGGACGAACTCTTGTGCTTCTTACTAGTGATGTATTTAACCTGATTCCTATCCCCGCAATTGGTTTTCTTTGTTATCTCCTTTGCTGCACTGTAAACAGTTCACTTTAATCTCGATCACATTGAGAGCAACAAAGAGAATTAGAATTAAGTTCAGTGTAATGATGGTCTGTCCTTTCCTGCAACAGGCAGGTTGTGGATACGGCGTGTTTACTTCCATCAAATCTGTATCAAAATGGTTATGCATGCTTTTGTCCTACAACCTTCAAATAAACAATTTTAAAGCATAATGGAAATAAAAGGATTTGTCTTTAACGAGTCACCCAGAACAAACAGAGCTCATATGTAGTGCGTGCGACTGTGTTACAAAAGATCCAGCATTAAACTGATCACTTAATTCTACCTAATCTGTCTTACCCTGCTCAAGCCATGTAAGGATATGCACTCAAGTGACTACAGGGTGCATCCTATCAGTCTTGCTCTAACTTTCCACTTCCTGCTGGTTCATCACCATGATGATGAACTTTAAATGTTCCTACTGTACAGTAATTGCTGTCAGCTTAATGAGCTCTTCAGCATTGAAAGCAATTTTATATGCATTATTAGAGCAGCACAAATTAGTAAACAGAATATTAGGATATGCTGAAATGTTCCAACACAAATGTAATATCCATGCCCATGTTTTAAACAGACGAAACAAGCAGAAACATGAGGGTAACTACACAAGCACATCAAATGAGGATACAACAGAAAACAAACAAGCTTTAAAAGCATTAGTATTTGCTTAATCTAAATCACTCAGCCAGATAACAACCAGATACTGGCATTTCCTACCAGTAGAGGAGTGATAGCCCGTCAAAGTGTTCTGCCTCCACTGGAAGCAGTGCCATTGCAGGTCCACAAGCAACTGATGATGTGTTGTAAAAATCTACGATATCACCGGTTTGGGGAGAACGGTGGTTCAAATCAGGTCAGTCTCGATGACCGAGAGACAGCAATCTACCCAGACAGTAACAGACAAACTCATACCTACTCACTAATCTGTCCTGATACTCCACAGTCACATGGTTTCCCTCACCTCTCTCTGCGCTGTCAAAGCTGATGATGATTTCTGTCTCTCCAGAGGCTGATGTGGAACGAGGGGACGTGAGTATGACTGCATGATTTCTGACGCGGGGACACTGAATGACAAGCAGTCTATGTGTGTGAATGTGGAGTCTATGTAAAACTGAAAAGAAAAATAAGAAACAAATTAGATTTGTCCAAATAAAAAATTACGTATTTAGGCCACGCCCACATGGGGGTGGGGGGAGACAGTACGTCTCCATTGACTTTGCGAGAGGCTGCCTCCTTGTCATAACAAAAAACAAAACAATGTCTAAAAACTGGATTAAATTATAAATGATAAAAATAAATAAAAACTATACATTTTTATAAGCTGTCGACCCCCAAAAACGGTTTTCAGGACATAAAAGTGGATCAATGAGACAGAGCGCTACTCGAACTACTCTGAGAACTGCCCACTGGAACGCGACATGATATTGTAAAAAAAAAAAAAAAAAAAAAACATTCATCATTTTAACCATGTCGATTGCTTATTTCACCACCCTATGTGAACCTAAGAGGAGGAGATATATTGAGAAGTTAAATTGTATTGGTCTGTCAGTGCCCCTTTTCCTTACCTTCCTTTTTTGGGAAAAATTATCCGACTGAATGGCCCAACGTGAAATAGGCCTACCCTGATATCTACAACTATTTGATCGAATCACCAGGTAACAGCATAATTTCACCTACGATCAAAACACACACTGTGACTAAAATAATGGGACAAGTTAGCTTTTAGAAAGCTATATACCGGTATATATGTGTGCAAGTGTAGCTTGGGTCAATTGGTATTCGTCCAAAAGCTTTCTATATCAGATAAATGCTATTATTTTGAACGATGGTTTGTTGTAAAAAGAAAAGAAGTGTATGACATTAAAAGTATTTTGAGTGGCAGGATAGGATCCCAGAATTTACCCATTCTTCCTGCTGATGCTTCACGTCTTATTGCCTGTATCCACTTTTGTCTCCTTAAAGGCTGGCTTTTACGGTTCGGAAGCTTATAAAAATGTATTTCTGGGTTGTTACTACTGTCAGGATTTACTAAAGACACGCAGTGAAAAAAATAGCGTGGAAAGTTTTTGTAGATGTTTCCCTTTCAGCAGGGGCGGACTGGGACCAAAAAGTGGCCCTGGACTTTCTGGCCCACAGCAGCCCACCACATCTCACATCACAACACATTGACCCATTAATGTGCAGAATATTTTTTAACACCTAGCATACAAATATAACACAATACAAAAATAAATGCTATTTAAACATTTATTTTAGGTAACACAACATATATTAGGTCATATTTGTAAAACCAAAGGGAAACAAACAGAAGAACATTAAGACACACAACATTATTAATATAAAACTATAAAGACAGCATATCAGCTAGCTAATCAGGGGGAGCTAGAGCCACCAGAGCCTGTTGAACTGCAACTCTTCGCGCCAAATGACGCTAGGGAGTCGGCTTTCATCTGCGCGGCCTGGGCTGCGTTCCAGTCCAAAATTGTCATGCCCTTCACTTGCTAACTTCCCTCCGTCTTGTTCACTCGGATGTACGTCATTGCTTACGTTGCACGAAGGAGTCAATCTGCAATTGGCTGAATTGGAACGTCCTAAGCCCTTGCTCACTTGGAATCAGCCATGGAGTTGATTTATTATTTAAATTTTTTTTTTCCTTTAAGAATTTGTTTAATGCAGCATCAAAATGTATATAGGTGTGTTTGGGTTGTTTTAAATTAAATATAAATAATTAATATATCAGAGTTGTTTGTGGTGGCGGTGATTAGACGATATCTGCGGTGACGTCACAATTGTGTTGCATTGTGGTATATGGAGCTGCCTGAAGTGTACATATGAAGTAGACTCGCTCCCTCGGACAAAATCGAGGGAACAAGTGTCTGTCCATATAAACTTCCCTTGTCCACTTCACGAAGTGGAACGCACTTCAAAATGGCGGCAGGGATTCCCCGAGGGGAAGTGCTTAGGGAAGTTCGCAAGTGCGTGTCTAAAAGTGGACTGGAACGCAGCCTTGGTGTGTTTCCAGGACGTGAACGAGGGCGTGTTTCAAGATACGCAATGGAGTAGACCAAACTAATTAACAGGGAGAGAGGGCAATAATACACTCACATGCATGCACACGAAACACACTCCTTGTCGGCCGCGCCCGCGCGATCGATTCCCTCATCCATTTGCGTAGAAAATGTAATATTATGATTTCCGTCATTTTTTTTATATATATATTTTTATATATATTTGTGTACCGGGCAGGTGTTCTGACGATTCATGCTACCCATCGAGATTTGCTACTTAATGGTCATGCGCATGTGCAGACGCACAGTTTTTTATAACAAAAGGTACATTTTCATGTGTTATATTGTAATTTCCCTTTAAAAATGCTAACTAGCATATGAATATGTGTACGGTCAGCCAGCTGAACAATAATAACTGAAAGTTTCAGTTACTAAGGAAAAGTGTGCTTTGACAAGTCAAAGATGAATATTTGATGATAATTTTTAATTTTCACACCGTTTTAAAAATAAAAACAGTAGTCTAAAGTATACAGTAGCTACTCATAACTTAGAATTGTATTATAATTGTATTTCATATAATATTAATCGACATTCTGTGATCGATTCGCGTTACGGTAGCATTTTTCGACAAGGCAGCACAAATCGTCAGAACACCGGCCCCTATTGGCCAGCGGCCCACCGGGAAAAGTCCCAGTGCTCCAGATGGCCAGTCCGCCCCTGCCTTTCAGTCGAAAAATGTATGGGATTTAAATAAAATATGGTAGTATAGTATCATGCTACAGTGCATTCTATCAGTTGCAGTCCTGGCGCCTCCTCAACATACTGTACAATGCCATGTACTTTACATTCACATCACATGTTAACACAGAGGTCGAGTTACACTCATGGGATATACTGCAATTCACAAAAGTTCATTATTTGCATGTGCTTTAAAGCCTGGCCGGTTAAAAATTAGTCCGTGTCTGTGCCGATGTCCGTGTCGATGTCCGTGTGCCCGTGCCGTTGTCCGTGTCGGTGCCAGTGTGCGTGTGTCAATGCCGGTGTCCGTGCCGGTGTTTGTGCCAGTGACCATGTCATTGCCGGTGCCGGTGTGTCCGTGCTGGTGCCGGTTTCCATGCCAGTGCTGGTGTTTGTGCCGGTGTGTAGGTGCCGGTTTCCATGCCGGTGTCCATGCCAGTGTGTAGGTGCAGGTTTCTGTGCCGGTGTCAATGCCGGTGCCGGTGTCCGTGCCGGTGTCCGCGCCGGTGTGTCTATGCCGGAGCCAGTGCCCGTGCCGGTGTGTCCGTGTCCGTGCCGGTGTCAAAGATAGTTTTAAGGGATACAATTATTGACCGCAGGCCCAGGGGGACTCTGGTTCCTTGAATGGCATCATGGGCGAAGTGAGGTTAAACACTGCCATTCAGCCAAGTGACCAGGAGGAGCGAGGCACTTTGTCTCAGTCACAGTATTAAGAGAGACCTTGCTGGCACTGAAGGCATGTAGATTTCAACTAGACCATCTTTTTGAAGTTTTACCTTATACAATTTTACTTGTGTCAATTAACTTATAACACAAATGAAGTGTATTTTAAAATAAATTGATATTTTTATTCAACTAAAAAAAGTTTTATTGCATCACGATCTAAACAGTATAGTTTTCAATCCACATTCAGGGATTTTGTGTAATATTTAAGCAAGACCAACTTAACAACCCCAAACAAACAAACAAAAACAGGAATAATGTACCTTTTGCAGGTAGGATAATTATTTAAAATTATGCATGACTTTTAAATGTAGGCCTACTGCTACTGTTTGTTATTATTGCCCAAAGGCACTAGAGAATTACATAATTTTAGAAACATAATTTCTCTATCGTTTGTGCTCATTAAAAATTAAGAGATACGTTTTTCACTTAACTCTTAGGCTGTCCATTGTGATGATATGATTGCACATTCAGACCGCAAACAATACACTTTTTGATAAGAGATTACGACAATATTTGAAATTTTACCACAATTACCCTGGGCACTTAAATAAATATTATATTTATTATTATAACGTTATTATAATATCCAACATGTTTAATGTGATAATCACATTTTCGCTAAGCAACAAGCAAGTACATTAGGCCTAATTTACCTCAATCTAGAACCCTTATGGGTGTGTTGTATATGGGTCTGCTGCTAAGACAGCTTTAAATAAACTAGACAGAGTGCAGAGTCGAGGTTTAAGATTATGTTGTGGAGCCATGAAGACAACTCCAGTGGCAGCCATCCAAGTAGAGATGGGGGAGTTGCCTTTAGATCTCAGAAGAGACCAGCTTAGCCTGGTTTTTTGGGCAAACCTTAAAGGTCATAGGGAAGACCATTTGAGTCAATCTACATTGGTAGAGTGTCAAGAGAGACAGAATGGTAGAAAAAGTAGTTTTGGGTGGACTATTGGACAGAAAATAAATGAGATGGAAATAGCCTTGTTGGATATAAGTCCCACAGTAGTATTTTCAAGAGTTCCTTTATGGACTCTTGAAGATCTTTCAGTTGATCTCAGTCTTTTGGAGGAAACTAAGAATGGGGATATAGATAGTAATATGGTGCAGGGGTATTTAGTTGAAAGATATGGGGATAGGATTATAATGTACACAGATGGGTCCAAAAGGGATGGGAGAGTGGGGGTGGCTTTTGTTATTCCAAAATTAAAAGTAGCAACACAAAAAAGAATTAATGATAATTTAGCAGTCTATACAGCAGAACTAATTGCTATTTTAATGGCACTCTCTTGGGCTGTGAGTAACAGGCCAAGAAGTTTAGTAATTGCTTCAGACTCAGCGTCAGCTCTGATGAGTATTCAGAACATAAATTCACAATCTAGACAAGACATTGTTGTAGAAATTGTCCAAATGGCTAGTACATTAATTAAAACTGGAGTCAATGTTGGACTTGTATGGGTTCCTGCCCACAAAGGAGTAATAGGGAATGAGTTGGCTGATAAGTATGCAAAAAAGGCAACAGAAATGGAGTATATAAGTTTAAGCATTAAGTATAGTAAAGAAGAGGTGAAATCAATCATTAAAAGAAAGATAAAGGAG